GACTAAAGCTCTATTTTTGTACCGTTTTTGTTAAGAAAAACAAACGCCAGCCAAAATGGAGTCCCAGGTGCGTCAGAACTACCACCGCGACTGCGAGGCCGCTGTCAACCGGATGGTGAACATGGAGCTTTTCGCCTCCTACACCTACACCTCCATGGTAAGGACAATTAATAGATGTTTTTATTTTTAAATAGCTCGTATTAATATGTGCTAATGAAACGTGTCTGCTCTGTGGTGTTTTGGTTGTTTACTCTCCGCCCACACTGGCACACTGACAGACTAAATGTAAAATGGAAGAATTATAAATATAACTTTAATGTGATTTTATTTTCTCTGTATAAGGTTATTATTATTATTATTATTATTATTAATAATAATAATAATAATAATAATAATAATAATAATAATATAAAAAAAAATGCATAAAGGGGGATGTTTGTTAGATTTTTAAGCACTAGTAGGAAGGGACTTGTGTATATTATCTTGTCTTAGGGGAGGGGCATAGACACTTAAATGGCTGTATTTTGTATTATTTTTTTACTCATATGACTCAGTGATTTTTTTGTGACATACTATACTGTTATTTCTTTGGGTTTTTTTGGGCATAATTTACTATGACTTAAACGTTTTTTTCGTTTTGTTTTCTGAGCTGCTATACTGTTACTTTCTTTTTAAAATGTTTTATGTACTACACTTTGATTTTTTTTTAATGTACTATATTACTTTTTTATGGATTTTGTTGACATACAACACTGACATTTTTATTGTTTTTACATAGTATGCTATGATTTTTATTTATTTATTTATTTATTTTAATATTTTGACATACTATAGCATTACTTTTTTTTAATGAAAGTTTTAAAGAAAACATTCAAAAGCCTTCACTTATCAAAGCCAGAAATTGCAAAACGGGAATAATTATTAGATATTTAAATTTCCGATGTTTTTGGACACATCATGACGAACACTTCCTCAGGAAAAAAAACCTCACCACATCTGGGCTTAAAATTGTGATCCACCAAAATCACTTTATTCTACATTTAAAATTTTGCCAAAAATACCATATCATAACCATTATGCACAAGAGCTGGGCACATTTAGTTGTTTTTTTTTTTTTTTACTTTGTTTTACTTTTTTAAAATCTAATATTAAACTGAAGGAGGATTGTGCATTTCCAGTCATGGTATGTTTGTCAGTTGTTTGTCACTGATTGGCAGTCGGCCATAAAAGGAGTGTTATAGCCCAGCCCGCCTCGATGATCAAAAAGTGCTGTGTCATGCTTACAGTGCTCCTTTTTTGCTTTTTTTTTTTTTTTTTTTACGCTCACGCTCCTCAAACTGAGTGCTGCTCTGCGTCTAAACTGACCAGAGAGTCGTGACTCACCTGCCTGACCGCCACCTGGCTGCATAACTACTGTTTGTCAAATAATGATGGGTCTCATAATCACTGTTTTTAACCTCTGTCCTCTTCCTCTCTCGTCCCTCTCAGGCCTTCTACTTCTCCCGTGACGATGTGGCCCTGAAAGGCTTCTCCCACTTCTTCAAGGAGAACAGCGACGAGGAGAGGGAGCACGCCGAGAAGCTGCTGTCCTTCCAGAACAAGAGAGGAGGACGCATCTTCCTCCAGGACGTCAAGGTCAGTGCAGGCTAAAGAACTGGTCCTGTTGTTGTGTGTCTCGCCATACCCTGTCTGTGCACGTACAAGTATTTTAGGATTAACATGCTGTGTTGCAACACTCGTTGCCAACTGTGCGGTTTAGGATCCACTCTGTATGATAATCAGTTGTCTCAGCATCATGCTTGTCTAAATCAGGCCTGAATTAAATAATTTGCTTAGTAATAAAGTGTGAAATGCCAGAGTTAATCCTCTGAGCTTGTTGAGGGTGCAGTGATGCAGGTGCAGACACTGTTGACTCAGATCATTGTGCTCTGTGTTCACGAGGCTTAATGTAATGACCCTTCAGTCCGCTATAATTGAATGTTGTGTTGTTTTTTTCTTGCGTAGAAACCGGACCGTGATGAGTGGGGGAGCGGGCTGGAGGCCATGCAGTGCGCCCTGCAGCTGGAGAAGAACGTCAACCAGGCTCTGCTGGATCTCCACAAGCTGGCTTCTGATCATGTCGACCCTCATGTAAGTATGAAGAGTCTGTTGATACTCAAAGTGTCCTGGGTTAGCGACACACTCCTCTGATGTTGGATTCATTAATGGTAACCGTTCTCTCCTCCTGTCCTCAGCTGTGTGACTTCCTGGAGACCCACTACCTGAACGAGCAGGTGGAGGCCATCAAGAAGCTGGGTGATTACATCACCAACCTGTCCCGCATGGACGCCCACAACAACAAGATGGCGGAGTACCTGTTCGACAAGCACACCCTGGGGGGCAGCAGCTAAACGCCGCGTGAAATTGTTATCAACGCAAAGGCTTTAATCTAAACGTCACCTTTCTGCTCCAGCTGCGAATTCACTGAGTGTGATTTTACATCTAATCTGCTTCACCTGTAACGTTGATAAGTTCTTGGATGTTCTGGTGGTGTCGCTGTTTAAATGTCATGTAGAGATGGGTATCTATCAGGTTATGGCTTTACATTCATAATTGGTAAGCCTCTGTTGGTGTGACATTTGTAATTGTGACTAAATGTTTCTGATCTGTTCTTAATCTGAATAAACATTTTGAGCTGGACTCTGGTGTTTGTCTGCATCTGTCACATGACCTGTTCATATCGACCCAAAAGATGTAGGTAATATTGACACAGTGAATCCAATCAGAGCTGGTTAGCTCGTACATTTGTGCTCACAGGTCAAGGTCTTGTGCGATACCTCATAATTAACTTACTGATTATATTTTATGTCAATCTAAATCTTCAAGTTAATGAGAAGGGAAAATCATAAATGAATGTGGAGTTAAAGTCTACAGTAGCATAAAAATGTTAACACTTGAGGTAAGAACACTAAAGCAGAACACAGTAAATGTACTGTCACTACTGAACAAAGGAGACATGATATTCGAGTCAACTTTATTTATATACCCTGACATCACAGAGCACACAGTTGCCTAAAAAGAATTCTCAATCTGTACAGAATACTCACTATCTGATTTTAGAGCATAATGATAACAATAAATAGAGTGATTGAACTATTATCATTAATGGTAGTCAGCATTCTGTGTATATATATTTATATGCAAACATTCTGTGGTGGTGCAACGTAAGAAGAGCTCTTGAGTCTGTTATTGTATTGTATTGTGATGCACTGTGGCCATCTTCTGGAGATCCTCAGAACTGCACTCAGAGTCACTTCCACCTTAAATAGCTACTGAGACGATTTCCATATGGCTTTCTGACAGAAAGGCATTTCAGGGTGAAAGTGGAAAGAGTGATAATCAGAAAAGTCAAAATGTCATGTCATAGAATTAAACGTTAAAAAAAAGGAATACTATAGTATGTTAAAAGTCAAAGTACAAAATTTAATTTGAAAAAGGTCAGAATATAGTTTGTAAAAATATTTTTAAAAAAACAACAAACTAAACTATGTCAGAACAAAATGACAATTCATAAAATACAGTGCTGTTAAAAATTGACTGAAAAACATCAGTATTGTAGGTCAAAATATTCTCATGAGAAAGTCAAAGCATAGTGGGTAAACAAAAGAAAGATGTTAAAGCATGTCAACAAAAAATAAAGGTAATAGGATACTGAACCACGGAAAACATCATTTAAAAGTGATTTTTTTTTTTTTATCATCTCATAGTATGATGTCCAAAATGGTATAAAAATTTCTTAGTATAGTACGTCATCCAAAATGTCATCAAAATGTCATAGTATAGTATGAAGTCCAAAATGTCATAGTATAGTATGTCGTCCAAAATGTCATGAAAATGTCATAGTATAGTATGTCGTCCAAAATTTCATAAAAATGTCATAGTATAGTATGTCGTCCAAAATGTCATAGTATAGTATGTCGTCCAAAACGTCATCAAAATGTCATAGTATAGTATGAAGTCCAACATGTCATGAAAACGTCATAGTATAGTATGATGTCCAAAACGTCATCAAAATGTCATAGTATAGTATGTCGTCCAAAATGTCATGAAAATGTCATAGTATAGTATGCCGCCAAAACGTCATCAAAATGTCATAGTATAGTATGATGTCCAAAACGTCATCAAAATGTCATAGTATAGTATGATGTCCAAAACGTCATAAAAATGTCATAGTATAATATGTTGTCCAAAATGTCATAAAAATGTCATAGTATAGTATGATGTCCAAAATGTCATAAAAATGTCATAGTATAGTATGACGTCCAAAACGTCATCAAAATGTCATAGTAAAAAAATCTATTAACAAAATGTCACAGTATAGTCGGCCACAAAAGGTTTGGCTCTTTGGTGGTTTTTTTTGGTTTCATATAGTTGTATCCCCTCAGGCTGTGCTGCCGATGACTTTTCTTCAAAGGTCATGACCTTTTCTAAACTCGTACCCAAAGTGTCAGGCTGCAGGTCGCCTCTGACACCTCTGATTGGTTGCTTGCTGTCCAGGATTTCAGTGTAACTTAACTAAAAGACTACAATTCCTTTGAAAGACTTTCAACTCCTATCGGTTTCCTCGAGCTTCGATCACAGAAGATTTCAACTTGTGCTTTTTTTTAAAATTCAGTTTATTTTCTGGAATATAAATGAAACAGTTTGAACCACTAAGCAGTGTAAGTTCATCCCTATGTGTGTTTTTAACAAACAACAACACAGCGTGTCTTCACTGACAGAGCGCTGGTCGTACACTGTAAAACACAGACACCTTCACATTTTAGTGAGTTTACAAATCTGAAGTTTCAAGTAAAAAAATGTCAGGTGTCAAGTGTGAAGTAACAAGATGTAAAGCCAGTTTTACTTGATGACGTGTCTGCTAAAGAGTGACTGTGTTTCAGCAGTGTAGGTGGACAGTAAGTAGTTGGCAGTGAGGGATATTGTGAGATTAACACAGAGGGGGGAGGGGGAGACAGAGAGAGGGGAGCTGTGTGCAGCGCTCCTCATCAGTCGGCAGAGGATTTATCTGAGGGACATTTGGATGCAGGAAAATAAATAAAAACAAGAACCAAAGACCCAAAAAGGACCGACACCATACAAGGTGAGTTATACTCTGTTTTATATTTTGTATTATTGTTTATTTTGCAGTTATTAGTTTGTTCAAATGTGTTTAAAATGTTTTAATCCAGACAAACAGGCAAAAAAAACCTAAATTACTTAATTTATAATGAATGGAAACAAACTATTGCTTTTAATTGGCTGGAGAAACAAATGTTTTCTTTAATAACTAATTTTATCTGCAGTTTGTTTCCCTGACTTTATCTGTTTCCATGTGTTTCAATCGAGCGGTAAATCTGCAAAGAATCTGCTCACGGGGAGCAAAGGGTTAATGTTCATTCACTGGATTTTATATGTTAACTTTCATGTCATATGTTTTTGTTATTCTTTGTCTTTTGCTGAATCTCACGGTGAAAACATTTGATTTTACTCATAGTGGAAGATGTTTTCCAAACCTGGCAAAGATTAGTTTAAGTGGATTATTGGAGACTAATGCACATCTATTTACAGAGTCTGTGTTCACGTGCACTCACCCGCAATACATCTACACAATACTGACGCTTCCCTCTTCAGCCTGTGTGAAGTTTCTGAGGTTGTATCAGGTGTTATAACCTTTAAATCCTGCAGCTTCAGTCTACACTGGATGATTATTTGCAGTCTGTGATGCAGATGGAGTTTCTTGGCGCCTGAGGCTCTCAGCACAAAGCTGCAGATCTACAGTGAACAGTAAAAGGTTTCTATCTTAACTGCAATGATCTTATCCTAACTTTATGAAGAATACTATCCAAGCAGCGTGCTCTGACACAGATCACCACAGGTTGAATTCTGCATCACAGGCATGTTTGTAGAAACACTGAATAAATGGTTCAAAATGAACAAATGCTCCTTTCTATCAAGGTTTCAGTGCATGCAAATAAAATCACATTATCCTTTTAAATCAGTCCATTTCCAACCTCAAGTGTAGAAATGTGTTTCCCAGGTCCTCTGTAAAGAAAAAAGGAAGCTTGAAGGAAAAGTTTGACATTTTGGGAAATGGACTTTAAACTGTAGGAGATAGCTGGCCTGGCTCTGTTTACAAATATTCCTGGCCCGGCACAGCTGGAGTCTTCCTCATCACTTGAGCCAAAAAATAAATTGAATAACAATGTTTGTTTACAAGAACTTAAGTGGAGAAAACCCTCACGTTATATAGACTAAATGAAATGGCGCTGGGCTAATGCTGCCTCACTTGGCTCGCATTTAGGTACCTAAAAACAAATCAGTATCATTTTAAGTGCACGTTATATTTAGAATATTTTAACCACTTTTTCAACAGGGAATTGAAGCTGTTACATTAAAGCCACCAGACTCCACTAACAAGAACTGTAATTTACTTCTCAGAACACTGAAGTTGCTGGTCTGTCGTTGCCTCCATCACATAGTGTGTGAGGTTAAGCGGAGAAAATTTCCTAAATATAACAAACATTCAAACTGATACTGATTTTTTAGGTGGCTAAAATATGTTTTGCTGCGACCACCATTCACAGCAGGACATTGTTTAGCGTCTGCGCTGGTAAATTTGGTTTATCAAAGATGATAAAAAAGCAAAATAGTAGGTAAAATAACTACAGCAGAAACGTCAGATGGGTGGGACCACTGGTGTTTAACTATGTGTCTTTGAAAGTTACAGTTACGGCTGAGGGCGACAACAGAAAAGGGGAGTGAATTGAAGTGATTGATGTTAGCGCAACATCACTGTGACTCTGTCTATAGTCCGGGATATACTCTACTGTAAAATAGCAAACTGATGTATTTACAGTCACATGTTTGTATTAGGTATGACGTATTATTAGTGGCCTTTCATGTGTTTGTAGTTGGATTTTGTTTACTTTCAACAAAGGCCAGGCTCGCTGTTTCCCCCTGTTCTCAGTCTTCAAGCTAAGCTAAGCTAACCAGCAGCTGGTTCCAGCTGGGGTACAAACATGAGAGTGGTGTCACTCTTCTCATCCTCACTGTGACCTCGTCACATGTCCACGTTTGCTCATGGACTTTCCACGTCCACATATGACGTCCAAGGTACCCTGGGTGTGTTGGTTGTTGATGTTCTGGGACGCCGTGTCAACTTCAGCCTGTTACATGCATTGTCTGTTTTCAAAATACACTTCTGTTTTCACAGGAAATGTACAGTTTGCATACAGTCTCTTTCAAAATAAAAGCACTACGTCGGTACAACACCACGATCTGATGTTTTTGTTGTTTTTCTTTCCCCTTTAACAACAAACACACATGTGGTTACGTTTGAGGAAAAAGAACAGGGTTTGATTTACAATCTCATGAGAAGCAAACACTGGCTTCCCAGGTGAAAGCTGGTGGTTGTTGTCCATCCCTCCCACCCGCCTTAACTTTCATTCTTGTCGCGTTGCATATTTCCCTGACGCTGCTGGCCGCCATGTATCATGCTGAAGTCAAAGAACGACTTTTTTCGTCAGTGTCTAACACCACAAGTCACTGACCAAGCGCAGGTTTTGGACAACTTCGGAGTGAGACCGGGTTCACAGAAGTTCAAAATGAACTTAAATCCACTGACAAAGTGCAGCTCAGAGTGCTTTACAAATTAGAAAAGAAAAGAGCAGATGATTTAAACCAAAGTTACAATATTAGAATAGATTTAAAAAGAGAAAAATGCCCTTTCAGCTGGAAATTAAACAACAACAACAACAAAATAAAAGCTTATTATTTCAATTTTTTCTAATGTAGAAATGTGTCTCTCAGACCTGCTGCAATAGAGTGTTGTGATTCAGGCAACAATGTTCTCACAGCAACATTACAGCAATGTCAGCAATATCACAGTAAAAGTATTTTTGTTTTCAAGCTGTCAGTGATGCCAAAGTGACGAACCTGTGCATGCAAACACCAGCAGTAGTGGTGCAGAGTGTCAGGGGCCTAATGGAGCCTCAGGTTCAGCCGTGAGCTGTGAGCTTTTAGACAAAATCCTTCCACCGGCTGTCAAATCTGTCTGAACACAGATCAGATCAGCACAGAGCCTTTAAAAGACACAACAATATAAATCTGGTTAAGACTCAACTCAATGTATTTCAGAAACATATTTCAACATCTGATCACAGTAAATCAAACTGCAGCATACATTAGTATAAAACTGTCAAATTAGGGCTGCAGCTGTTATGTTTTTATTATTGATTAATCTGTTGATTATTTCTATTGATTCATTATTAATAGTTTGGTTCGTGAAATGACAGGAAAAGGTGAAAATGGCACTGACAAGTCTTTTTGTACAACTCTCAGTCAAAGACACCCAGAGTTTTCCATATAAAGCAGCACATCTGACACTAGTTAATTTTTGGTATTTAGCTTTTTAAAAAAACACCTTTTATTGATTGAATGATCTCTGAGCTCTAAACCTTAAGAAACAAAATCTGGGAATTTAAAATAGTCAAATTTTAATAACTTTTTAAAATCACTTTTTATTTATAGCATTAAAGCCACAGTTGGTAACGTTTATGAAAAAACTTTGTGTCACATTTGTTGAAACAACCTGGTCTCACTCCGAAGTCATTGAAATCTGGCACCTGGTCAGTGACTTTAGGTGTCAGCCACCGTGAAAAAAAGTCCTATCATGTCAGCATGATACGATGGAGTATTAGGGCCATATTGAAGAAAAAAAAAATTGGAGATTTCGAGAATAAAGTCGTAATATTACGAGAAAAAAGTCATAATATTACGAGAATAAAGTCGTAATATTACGAGAATAAAGTCGTAATATTACAAGAATAAAGTCGTAATATTATGAGAATAACGTGGTCCCGAAAAAAAGTCATAATATTACGAGAATAAAGTCGTCCCGAGAAAACGTCATAATATTACGAGAATAAAGTCGTAATATTACGAGAATAAAGTCGTCCCGAGACAAAGTCATAATATTATGAGAATAAAGTCGTAATACTACGAGAATAAAGTCGTCCCGAGAAAACGTCGTAATATTACGAGAATAAAGTCGTAATATTACGAGAATAAAGTCGTCCCGAGAAAAAGTCATGATATTACGAGAATAAAGTCGTAATACTACGAGAATAAAGACGTTCTGAGAAAGTCATAATATTACGCAAACAAACTCGTAATATAAATGTGTGTGTCGAGGCAACACACCTGAGACAAAGAGCAGCTGCCACAAGCAGGTTCCTCCTCTAACCCATTCTGTTTGTTGTTGGTTATTTCCTGAAAAACTACGACTTTATTTTCGTAATATTATGACTTTTTCTCAGTTACGACTTTATTCTCGTAACATTACGAGAAAAAATTCGTAATATTACGACTTTATTCTTGAACTCTCCAATTTTTTTTTTCTTCAATGTGGCCCTAATACTCCATCGTAGCATGATACGTGGCCAGGTGCCACTATTGTTTAATGGCGCCCGACTGCGTCAGGGGAAACGTGGCGAGACAACAAGGAAAGTTAAGGTGGCAGAAATCTGAGTAGGTTGGGTGGGAGTGGTGGTGGATGGGTCCACCAACTTTCACCTGGGAGGCCGATGTTCACTTCCTGTAAGATTGTGACGCCAAACCCTCTTCTTTTTTCCTAAACCCAACCACATCGATTGTAGTTTGTACTTTTATTTTGAAAGAGACTGTATGCAAACTGTACATTTCCTGTGAAAACAGAAGTGTATTTTGAAAACAGACAATGCATGTAACAGACTGAAGTTGACACGGCGTCCCAGAACGTCAACAACCAACACACCCAGGGTACCTTGAACGTCATATGTGGACGTGGAAAGATATGTGACGATGTCGGAGTGAGGATGAGTTTATTTGGCGCTGTTAGTACCTCCATTACTGGCTTAAAGGCGAGACAACTCTGGTACCTTAAAGAACAGCGAGGCAGAATAACGGTGTGACCGTCCCGCCTTGTGTAGCCTCACGTCTTATATTTGAACCCCTGAAGCCTTCAAGGTTGTAAGATAAAATAACGACTGTCACGTGTTCCTTTTGTCCTCTGACTCCCTCACAGATCTGTTTGTTGCGTGTGATTTTCATACAGAGCTCTTT